TCTATTATTATTATCTGATCTTGTCGATACACGATAACAACAACACAAGTTCACTAAAAATACGTAGTCGATAGACATTCCGTGTACATTTGTACGTACATCTGAGATGGCTATGTTTTCCTTTCCCGCCATATTTCTGTTCTATGCAAAGTAGTCGACATCACTTTATACGACGACTTGTCCTTATTTCGAAAAGAATTGATAGCACGTGCCGCATTTTTTTGAGGCACGTGCTATCTTTCTCTGCCTCTGCAGTTTTCTTTTCGTCGTGTGCGCGCAGTAACTCTAAATATAGAGTATCGCGCATTTTGTAACTGTATTCGTTATCTATCGATGCGCTTACACATCTTACGCATTTACACAATCTTACTTACTTAGTCGTCCGATAACTTATTTTTCCTTTTTTTTTTCTATCGCAAACGTTAACATGCCAGTTACGCAGTAAAATCTAACGATCCATCGCATTCTCGCTTTCTCCTCCTCTCTCTCTCTCTCTCTCTCTCTCTCTTTCGTTTCGTTTCTCTACGCTTCTTCATCCTCGTCTCCGTTAATCACATTATCGATCGTGCGAAGTTCGCGTATACGTCTTGCGTCAAACCGCATGACGAAGCTGATTGCATTCTTCAAATAGCATGCGACGATATCCGATAGAAATAGGACACTCGATATCTTCGAAAAATAAAAATTAGTTTTTCAAATATCAAAGTTTACAAAAAAAACCGGATTGTGTACAACGATTATCAGTTTAACAAAACAAAACGAAAACTAACTGTTTACCGAGAGAATTGAGCAAATCAAAAGTAGGTGAAGTAGAAAATGAAACACAAAGTAAATTTATTTATGTGAGATATCTCGAGAAATTATCGCTATTATTGAAAATCGTAGACAAAGTTATAATCATACGTATATTTAGGACACACGTTGTACACGCATACATATTCTACACGTATATAGACGCACGCACTTGCATCGATTCGTGACAAGCCACGAGATTACTTGGAATCTACGAGCTCTGAGATATATAATTCTTTCATAACAGATAGTTTTTCTTGATAGCCGCGGTTATTATTAAACAGGTTTATCACTTTAATTTTGACGAGTATTGCGAGATAAATGCGAATGGCGCCCGATTTAGTTAGTCATCGAATAATAACAAATCGATGTAATGTCTATTAATTATTATCGTCTCTCTCTCTCTCAACACTATTATATTCTTTCTTTATTTGAATAAAAACATTTCTTGCGGCTTTTTAACGTATTTGTGACAGATTCGGAATTAATTATTAACGTTCACATATTTATTTGGATAGTTGGATAATTTTTTTTATATGCTGTATATTTAATAATAGGTGCATAATTTGATGTTATGAACGATATCCTTTTTAATTAAAAATAAAATAGCTTTTCGTATATTTTTCGAGTTTTTAAAGTTTTAGCATCAAATATCTTGATGTAAACGCAGAAGCATCGCTATATTTCAAGTCAAATTTGTCCAAGTGAAATCAGTTGACAAATATTTACCATTTCTTGAAATTTACATTGCATAATTTGCATCATCGATCTCTTCTTTAATTAACAACGGCATAAAATCTACCATTTTGAAAATAGTTTTTGAAACAATATTATACCAAACGCATTTACCAGAGAGAAGAGAGAGAGAGAGAGAGAGAGAGAGAGAGAGAGACCCTGTATAAGTAAATCTACACAAAATTTCCCTTTTACATGGATTAGATGTTTCTTTTATCGCAATTATCGCAAAATGGATTGTATGCGATAATCTGAAAAATTCAGATTCACGATATGCGAGATCAGCGCCATTCGTCGAACGAGTGCAAAGAGATTCCCCAAGAGTGATATTTCGCAATACGTGCATTTTTTTATTGACAGAATGGAAAACCGCAAAAACGACATACAGTTACGACAACGATAATGTGGCAGAGGCGGGGGAGGGGCGGGGGGGGCGCAACTTTGACAGTTGTCGATGCAATTCCAACCAAGCAGCGAGATACGTGACTAAATGTCAGACACAAATAAACTTCAATATGGATTTATTATACACCCTATAGCGCTATAAATTAGGATACAAACGAAAGCCTTGAAATAATTCTTAACGAATAAACGCGTCGTATTCATCGATAAGACTGTTTGAGATCTCGCAAAGAATTCACGCATCTTTGATTCTACAAAATGTAACGCACTTGTGTCAGAGGCCAACTATCAAAATTATCGAACATCGTTTCTTATTTCTTTCACCTTCATTATCCGTGTATATCCGCGGCATCTATACTATGTTCATTGGAATTTATCGATCCAAACGCTCATAATGATCACAATATTCAAAACATTACATAATACTCTCAATACATTATTCATACATGTATTATGTAATTTTCCTGTGACCTAAATTAATTAATTATAACAAATAAGCAAATAAGGCATTGTATAATACAAGTTGCGAAATATTAAGTCATTGTTCGAAAATTGTGTATGTGTATTACGAATATTATGATTGAATTATTCAACAAATATATAATAATTTTTCGTGTCCTAATAAAAAGAATGTAGTAGATCTTTTAAATTAAAATGGTGTTTTTCGTATTTTCATATTTATGTAATCTCTATACAATTGTCAAGAATAACAGAGACTACAGCGTTGTGTTAAAAATATAGAGGACATTCACACACAATAAGTTTAATTCTGTCTAAAGATGCCACGTGTCGTGCTCCATTCGTGTGATGAACAAAACAATTAGCTTGAAAATAAAACGAAACCTTGAAACGACGTATCTGTAACGAAAGAAAACTTGCCATGGAATTCTCGGAACGGTACAAAATAAAACTCTTAAAAATTAATCTAATTTCGGATATAATGTGATATTGATTTCGAAGCAACTAGTTGTAGAAAGGAGCGTAATTAATACGAACAATACGTTGAAAATTTTATTAGCGTGCGTTTAAAAACTATGCGTTCTAGATGAGATGAAATTCTTCAAATATTCGAAAGAGAGAGAGAGAGAGAGAGAGAAAACAAAAAAATGCTTCAGGTTCGAATCGTTTCAAGACATCTCGCGTTTCGCAACGCGTTTACTCCAAAAATGATTCGCTTCGAATTTTCAAGCGAAACACGCTCAAAAGGTATAAAAGTTCGGGATGAAGAAATAAATTCAATAACTTCGATTAACGCGATTAGTGCTATCCGCCGCGAGTTTTTTAACAATTAGTCATAGTTGTACGTCGTACGAAGAAGCATATCTGTGATGAATCGCTCGAAATTGTTCGCAATACACTTTAGAGCTAAACACTTCCAAGAATAATAAAGTCGCTTTGGAAAAAAAAATAGAAGAGGAAGGGTAAAACGTGTCTCTCCATGCGAGATTCGTTTGCGCTTCGCAAAAAGGCGTAAAAACGTGCTTGGTTTGCGATTCGTATCGCGATCGCGACACAGGCCACGGGCCTCGGGCCTCGGACTCCTCGACTCTCATGCGTCAAGAGTCAAGACGTGTCGGAATCGGAACATTCGGAAGGCGGTGCGATGTGCGATACGAGTTAGGGATGAGGGGTGTGGGTCGAGAGAGGCAAAGCACCGCATCGACATCACGATCTTCCCCTCATCGTGAACACGAAGAGAGAGAAGGGAGAAGGAAGAAAGCCGTGGAAGGGGTGAGAAGGTAGGAGTGGAAGAGGAGAGGCGGCGGCAGCGGCGGCGCGCGACGCGCGTCGATGGTGGAATGAGGGACGTCGCGCGGAGAGGAAAGGAGAGAGAGGAGGAGAGACGGAGACGCGTCTGGAAGGAGTGAGAGGAAGGGTGAGAGGCGCGGTGGAGCTTTTAGGTTTTTAGCCGACATCCGACTGTCGCCGTCTCAGTAGTCTCTGGTCTCAGTTCCTGTCCGACTCGCGGTTCCTACACGTACGCGCGCGCGCGCGTTGGATTTCTTCTTACTCTCTTACTCCACTCTACCGAATATCGAATACCGGATCGAGATTATATCCAAGAGAGGATAGAGAGAAGTTTAGTCGTTAGTCGCAGGACTCGGAGCGCGCTCTTCTCCCGCTACCGGTCTCTCTCGGGCAGGATCGATCGAGGAGGTATCGAATGAAATGAATTAGATTGATTCTCCGTTTAAGACCGAATTGTCACAGTGCGTCGGGATATCGCGGGGATAACTGTGTATATCGTGTGAGAAACATTTTGCACACAACTCGCTTCTTATTACGAGTGTAAACTCGAGTGGAAAGAAGGCACCGATAAAACGCTGCGATCGACGATTGATCGATAATTGGCTAAATTGACGACGATTTATTAGCGTGCGAGAAACGGTCTTCTTTCCTGGCAGTGCTAATCGGCGATAAGGAGGACACGTGCAGTTTTCGGAACGATCTATCGATACGTTTGATTTTACGGTAAGGACGAGCTTATACGCCACGTCGACGACTCGTCGACTCGTCGATTCGTCGACTGTCGAAGAAAATACGTATTCGCGTGCGCGCGCGCGCGCGCCGGTCGCAATAAATCGTCAAAGTTCGATAAAACATGCATCGAGTTTTTCTTTCGAAAAAGTCGGACTGAGATTGGGGAGAGGGCTAGAATACCTTTTTCTCGCGAAGAATTCATTTAATCGGAATATATATATATAATATGTGACTGTTTTTAAATTTTCAAGGGCATCTCACGATAGATTTACTACACAAATGACATCTTTGAAATAGGAAAAACATGCCTCTATTTTTAAGAGATTTATCAAAGGTCAAAGTAAAAATACCGATAACATAATTCGAGATATGGAAATGTGGTTTAAATTTCTCTTTTCGTGAAAATACTAACTGTGAAATAATATATAATCTTTGTATTTATATGTTCTCCAAAAAATGCGTAAAAAATTTAAAATATAAATGCAACTTTCGTAAGATATGCAACGCGTAAGTTATGAATCAAGAATATAACAAGTATATTCTTATTGTAAGTTACTTTTACAATTGTTAAAAATAATATACAATGCTTGAAAAAAAAATTTTGATTTAAAATCTTTTGCAGCAGCTGAGACACAAAGAATTTCGAAATTTTAGTTTGCCACTGAGAAAATTTTTGACGGAAAATATACCAACGATAAGAATTAAAAAAAAATTAATTCTCAAATACATAATTACACAATTTCGAATTTGTATACGATAAATTGGGGTGACCGATATATATTTTTCAGACACCCTGTACACACAGACGCGCTGCTCGCCAAGTGTTCAATGCTCTCATAAGTATAATCCAGTCCTGATGTATAACGTTCTTCCCCACACGCGTAGACTTTTTTTTTTTTCTTTACTTTTTCCCCTCTCTTTTACGCCGCTTCGGGACGAGGAACGAGTCTCGGAACGAGAACGAACAGGTTAAAATACGAGGGATACGTTAACATATGCATTCTTATGCATTTCACGTTTTTACTACTGTGACGGAATATGTATATACGAGAGCAAATCGTCTCTTCTTCTTTTTTTTTTTTTTAATTGCAAACTCTGAGATGAATAATACAATAAGTAAATAAGTAAATATTTCTTTTCCAGAAAGCAATTCTCAGACATAATCAAAGAGAACCGTTTTCATTGATAACAAGCTCTTATTGAAGAAACATAAATTTTTTTCTCCCTTTTCCGCAAAAAAAATTTATGCACATTTTAAATAATATAATTTCGAAGTGAAAAGAATTGCATTAGGGGGTGTTTAAAACTTGCTCCGATTAATTCATGATTTTCGTGTTTCGTACAACTGCAATTGTGATAATTCGAAGATGCGATACGGAATACTTTTCAATTACGACTTTATATTTGTCAAGAAATTTATGGCCGAAGCGAAGCGGACTATTTTCGTTGCTACAATATGTGCGATATTTCTACGCAGCGAATAAATGCAATGCAAAAGCGAATGTATTTTTCTCGCGCGCATGTGTGTGGTGAATACTCTATTCTAATTTGCTATGATGTAATTCCAATGATAACAACACGAATATGCGAAAATATGTTTCCTCCGGTCTCGAAATGGCCGGAATAGCTCGAGGATAATTTTGGAACACCGCACCATCATGGATTCCTTATCCTGACTAGCTCGCACGCAAACTAGAGGAAACGCTTTAAGCCCTCTAAGATCCATCACGGATCTATATTTTATAAATGCAATTATATATTAGTTGTACTAATAGCTAATCGATTACAGCCAGAATATTGTAATTAAACGAAATGGATGCGATTTAACATGCGGAGAACCTTCTATGGTAATCTATCAGAGGTGATATAATGATATAATAACTCTAATTTTCATCCGTTAATATCGCACATCACAATGTTATCACGTGTTTGACATACATTTATACGAACATCGCGAGATAAAAAGAAAATCTACTCTTTGATTATCTTACTATTATCTCTTAATCCCGGAAAGAGATAATGTGATAATAATATTTTTTGTTTATACACACACACCTGATACGAGCGTGTCGAAAGAAAGTGATATATACGAAAGTGTATATTTGCTCCGACTTAATCTATTTTTATCTTTTTATTATGAGGTGTCCCAAAAATAAATATTTAATATTATACTGCCTATGCCTAATTATCGATTTCCAAAAAGAAGGGTAGGTTTGGCAGGTTTCCAAGCTCTCTAGCCCCTCCTTCTCATTTTAAAGTACCTACACATCCTCCGGTATCGATCCTTGGAAAACGTCCAGCATCCTTCCGACCAGCTCCCACATATCGAAGCTTTCATACGACACACCCTATATGTATACCGTATCGATCGTTCGCTTCCTCCTATCGCACATCGCACGTGGATATCACTCGCAACAGAGGTGGTCAACCTTTACGAATTTGCCGGTTTTTCCGGCCGCGGATTCGGCGGATTCGGCGGATTCACCGGGGCACGTGAATTCTTTAACATTCGATCTCGTTCCAACGTTGACATTGAACGCGGCTTGCCTCGTTCAAAGCCTCGCAAAACACGTGAATCGCACGAGCACGCGCTTATTTACGGCTGAATGGATTCCGTTGAATAGATAAATAATAATTCCAACTTTTAATCTATGATATTTGTATTTGTGCACTATCGAAAGTACCACCATTAATCGTACTCTTCTACTTTTCCAGTTTCAAACATTATAAGCGATACTACGTATCGCTACGAATTATCGTTGAGAGCTGACGGTGAGAAATTAATTAAATAAAATGCTTATATCTATTTATTGTAATTGCAAGTAAAGTCGAAATACTAATCTCGGATCGAAAATTATTTCTAACATCTTTTCACTGCAGAAAGCATGATTTTGAAGATTTAAAAGAGAAATACGATTTTGTTTTATTTTTAAAAAATATCGTTTTTAACGATATATCTCGTCGTTGGAATTATCTCCATTTTTTTTTTTTTGCGTATTAATTTCAATCATTGACGACAGATTTAAACTGTTTATTATATCTCTTAATCGAGAGAGATAAGATTCATACGATAAGATCGTGTATGTCATAATATTTTGCCAGAATGACAAATTTGAAGGTCAGTAAAAATAAATAGATTCTTCTTCGGATTATAATAAATGAAATTGGAGAATTCTTTCCTAAATGAAAAATCGCGCAATGTAAATTTCTAGACATTGATTATTAAATTCTGATAATTTGGATTTCCACGTGACGATGCGAAATAAAAATTTGAAAAAAAAAAATAGGGGAAAAAGAGGAGACATATTTACGTCAAAAATTGAATTCTGTTTATAATTATACATACATAAAATGTTGCAAAACCGAATGTCCTGTTATATAATAGCGGATCCATAGCCAAAAAGTGTCGAGGCATGAATCCGAGTTAACGATAGAAAAGGAGCGCTTTTTACAAACTAAACTTTGTAGGGAGTTGAAAATAAATTTCCATTAACTTAATTAGTCGGTTAATTTCAGAAGGAATCTGCTCTTAAAAGGATGGTAATTTTTAGATACTCTATATGTTATTATACTTTTTTAAGTTTTCCGTATTACACGAGACATAAGAATATAAATAGAAATCTATTCCAAATTTCGAGGAAGAAGAAATGTTCTTACATGAGGAATGTTATCGAGAAGCGGTTGGCTACCCCTGTCCTCTCTGTTACATGCTTGGTACATCGGACAAGCACGTGAACGCGTCGCAACATCGATTTCTTTAACGCGTATTCTTCGTTTTGTTTGCACACATCGATCATTATTGCGATTCGTCACGACGACGACGACGACGACGACGACGACGACGACGACAAAGTCACGCATTTGTTACGCGCCTTATGCTTACGTAACGCCGACAATACGGATATTCTGCGTTACCTTGACGGCTCTTCCTCTTCTCCCCCTCCCCCAAATCATCCTTCACGATCTTGGCCCCCTAATAGTGCGTAGCTTTTCACATGCGGAGTATATCTGTCCAACGATCAAATGTCATATCGAATCTGAACTAATCGTCTAGATTGCATCGTTCAAATATCGAGTTTAAGTGCGCGTGTACTATATTAAACAAGTAACTTTAACTATACTTAAATAGATAACTTTTTATTTGTTCATATGTTTAATTACAGTACTACAGTCGCAAATAATAAAACAATGTACGTAACTCGATTTCATCGAGTATTAATTTCGCGACGTCTGTGCGCTAAATACGACAGCGATATATACAAGCATACATTAATGAAATAGATCGCGAAAGCTCTCTCTATTTTTATGGTTCGTAAATTAAGGAATATTTGTAAATCTTGATAAACACACACACACAGTATCATAAGGATCCTTCTCTTCTCGTCTTTCAGATTACGATCAATTACGATGACTTCCGAGCCGTGGACCTTGCCTCCGAAGCAAGGTCTTTACGATCCTGGCCTCGAACGAGAGGCTTGCGGCGTTGGTTTTATCGTCGCCATTGATGGAAAGCGGTCGCATAAGGTGAGTTGATTTCGTTGAATTTCGTATAATTTATCTTTAAGTATAAAATTTGAAAAAATAGAACATCTATATCTATCGAGTATCTTCCAATTGATCTTTACCAATCCGTTATACAGACGTTATACAGACACGCGCGCGCGTTCGTATATTAATATCGTCGTATATCGTTTTATTAGATAGATGTACAAAACTCTCGAATAAGCAATAAAGATGAGCTAATCGTATAGAAAACGTAACAATAATACATAATATAGCAGTGAAATTATTAGACAAATATATCGAAGAACTCGTAATTATACAAATAATGGAAAATTAAAAATTAAAACAAATTAGATTTTCAAAGAGATTTCTAGTATCAAAATTAAATTGTAAAATTGAAAACGCTAATTAAAACACGAAGAAAAGATTAGATAAATCGGAAATGTAAATTTGGATGGGATATATCTATTTATAAAAGAGAGAGAAAAGAGAAAGATGAACGAATCGTTGATGCACGAATTATGTGATCTTTTGTTCAGTCGCACCAAGATAAGGAAACTGTCGGACCAGTTCGCTCGCGCTCTGGATTTATTTATTTATTTATAGTCGTTATCTCTATGCGAATTTCAGATTATACGAGACGCTCAGACATTGTCGGCGCGTATGAATCACAGGGGAGCGTGTGCTTGCGATAACGACACTGGTGACGGGGCTGGTGTACTTTGCGCAATCCCGCACGATTACTATGCCAATAAAATTCGGTAAGAGAATCCCACATCGACATGCCGTAAGTCTTATCTGCCAATGAAACCGAGTCTAGAGTTTCCCTGAAATGTATACAGCTTGTAGTTTGTAGTTTCTAGTTTTTAATATACAATATTTATAGGACATCGGATTTAAGCCAAGTTAAAAGCACGTGTCACATCTAGCTATATTATTATAGATATTATGGCGCTTTGTCCGACTCCGAATTTAATTTCCGCGCAATATAAAGAGTTTGTAATCGATCTTTTTTATATCGCCGTATTTTTTAATCTTACTTTTAGATTTTTATATAATATGAAACATATTTTATAAATGATTGAAAAGTCAATAGTGGATTTAATAAACCGTTCGTGATATAAATCCTTCATTTTATAGATCCTCGTAAATCATTGCGGAGGACTTCTCAATTTTACGAAACCTAAAACTTTTATCGATATCATGCATCTATCGCTTCATACATATGTTTGTATTTGTAATCATTCTGCAGATTCCCAATCCCACATAAATCCTTGGCATAATTCTACAAATCCTTCATCACAAATCATTGTTTTGTCGGATTTCTAAATTTATATGGATCCTTAGTTTCTCCGATCATTGACTCGCAAAAAAAAAAATAAATAAATAAATCATGAAAAATTTCTAAATCCTTGATTCTGCAGAAATTTTTATGGTAATTGTAAGGTATGCGAATTAGGTTCATTAATATAATTATATTAATATAATTATATTTTGCAGTGAACAGCAAAATATCATACTGCCCGAGTTCGGACGATACGCGACCGGTATTTTATTCCTCGACAAGAACACGCACAAGGAAGTAGAGACGGCGTTCGAGAAACTGGCCGAGGAATGCAATTTGCGAGTATGTCTGTGTTACTTATTAATCCGTTTTAATATTCTAGTTATCGTGTTCTTTGCACGCTCTGCTCCTGGAATATTCTCGAGATTGTGTGATTTGTAATAGGTGCTCTGCTGGCGCAATGTTCCCACCGATAGGATCCAGATTGGTCAAGTGGCGAAGAAGTGTGAACCGTATATGCGTCAAGTATTCGTTACTGGCGATCAGGATACGGAAACGCTCAAACGGCAGGTAATTTGCTTTTTTCATGCTAATACTAATAATAACGATAATGATACACATCATCGTCATTTTCATTATTATTATTATTATTATTATTACATTTTATATGTCGATTGTTAGTCGATTAATATTTTCGTATATCGTTTTCGACGTCTATTTTGAAAGCCTTCTTGTAATGCCATCTTGTAATGCTAATTAATTACTACTAGTAAATCTAAAATTGCATACACTATACATTAAGCTTCGTAGGCCAAATAATTTGTGGCGTTAAATGACTTTGCCAATTTATAAGAATAGAACTCGGATTCATCGCGAAACAGTCGTCTTTTTTCAAGGTCAAAACGAATGCTCGTTTAATCGATTCCTAGTTATTACATTTTTACGTTTTGATCGTATCTGTTCCTCAGATATTCGTGCTAAGGAAAAGATCGTCGCATACAATACCGCGACCGGGATTGCGATACTACATTTGCTCATTGTCGCTAAAAACGGTCGTCTACAAAGGACAGCTGACCGCTGATCAGTTATGGTTGTACTTCACGGACTTTAAGGTAAGTCCACATTATTTCCAGATCATTTTCTTTGCTATGGAGAAGGCACGGTTCCGATAAGTTTGGAGATTCGATTCAACAAATATTTTTTTTAGCCATTTCTTTGCAGCAAAGCACAAAGCAAAAAGTTTTACAGCGCCATGGCTTTTCGTTTTCAAATTACGATATTATTATTTTTATAGAAAAATAATAAGCAGCTTGGTAGAAAAAGAAAAAAAAACATTAATCATTTGAGTTGAATTACAAAATTGAAAATAAATTGCCGAAAATTCAATAATCTAATTATTTTGATGAAAAAATTTAATTACAATAAAATTACTTTTAAATAACACATGGAGATGTTCGTCGAAAAGAAATAGTCATGGTAATTTTTTGTTTTTACCATCGATCTCAGCGTTCAAAATATCTTCAAGAAACATTCTCATATCGTATCGCCAAAGTTATCGAAATCTTTCCCGGGAGAGCGTCACTCTTGTCTAAAGATATTATGTAAAATGTACGTACTATCAAAAGTAACGCAATGTCATAAATTTCTCTTCATATCAGTCTCCAAAGTTCGAGACTTATCTGGCGCTGGTGCATACACGATTCTCCACGAATACGTTTCCGAGCTGGGAAAGGGCGCATCCTCTACGGTAAGCTGCTACATAACAGTCCGATAAAAAAAAACGCGGATAAGATAATAGATTATTATTGTTTATTTTTTATTTCTCCGTCTCCATAATTATATAGAATGTGCCATGATTAGTGGAATAAAGAGTTCGAGAGAAGACATATATATGTATATGTTTATAACAAATTGCACACATTTAAAAAAGCGTAACTATATTATTAGTTTTCCAAAATTTTAAGTCAATTTTCTCAAAAATAAAGCTATATAAAAAATTTTATTTTCACATTAAAATTTTTTGGTTTTTTTTTTCATATCTTTACCTTCCCGGTTGTATCACTAGTTACGAAACAGTATAGTTTTCATAATTTATTTCAATATTACATTTCTTCTCTTAAGAAAAAACAATTAAACTCCTATCATATATTAATCTGAACAAGAAGGAAATGTTATTCAAATTTTTTCGAATTTTTTTCCACATGTACCTGCGTGTTTTCTACGAAGAATATTATTCCTAAATGACCATCGATAAAGACTCCGTTCTTATCGAACGCGTTGGTATGACGTCAACTTTTTTAACTATTCTACTTCATAATTTTCCTCCATTCGATTCTTCAGCTTCTAATATTTCCCTAATAGTATACAGAAGATCTATAACTCGCGGCGGTTTTATCAAATTTTGCGGACAATGTACTAAAACACTTACTTATATCTTCGCGATTCCCATCGCGCTGTCCCATTATTACGACAAATAACATTCTATTGTAGGTTGTAATCACACTTTCGCAGGATGTTTCGAAACCGCAAACGAACGAGTACCGATATAACAGGCGAATTTTTTTCCATAGATTGCTGGCTCATAACGGCGAAATTAACACTCTGCGCGGCAACGTGAATTTTATGAAGGCGCGAGAAGGCGTGATGAGCAGCCAGATATACGGCGATCAGCTGAAGTTGCTCTATCCGGTCGTTGAGCCAAATCTATCCGACTCTGGATCGGCGGATTGTGTGCTCGAATTCTTAGTAATGGCGGGACAACGTTCGTTGCCTGAGGTAAATATTTATCATTTTAAAAACACATCAAAGAAAAAAAGTCGTCCATGCAGAAATATAAAATATTACGATATATAGAAAAAAATAGAAAGATATCTCTCGGATATTCTAAATTTTGTAAATTCTTGATTTTATATATCACAGAAATTTGATTTCCCTAATTTTAGATTCTTGATCGTTCTTGGATCGTTCATTTTGAAGATTATTTGCATGAATTATTGATTCCATGCAAACTTATAAGTTCCACGGATTTTTCTCGGTATCATAAAACTTTCTCAGTGATCCTTGATTTCACATATTCTATCCTTTTTGAATTCTATAAATCCTTGATTCCGTACATTCTTGATAATCCCTTTAGAAATTAGAAGAAAAAAAAAACTTGTTATCCAAGATCTAGAACGCCACGGATCTTTGAATACGTACGTACTCATGATTAATCGATTCCTAGCCCATCACCGTTAATTCTTTCCGGGTTATCGTGAATCTCACGCGTTACGAAAAGCTTCATGGTCCACGAATAAACGCCCTGAAATCGTCGTTATTTGAATCCAGGCTGTCATGACGATGGTACCGGAGGCATGGCAGAACGACGTAACAATGGCCACCGAGAAGCGCGACTTCTACCATTGGGCGGCGTGCGTCATGGAACCTTGGGACGGCCCGGCACTGCTAACCTTCACCGACGGCCGCTATGTCGGCGCTATCTTGGACAGGTAGAAATTTGCCATCTCTCATTACGTCTCGTTTACTACACTCGTTTCTACGTAGGCTCCACTTCCCTCTCGTTCGTGCTGTCTGGTAATTTCTTGTGCCACGTTATCCATGTAGATCCTGCGACTCCTCGGATCACACAAATGATCCGCGATTGCGCAGACTCTTGGATCTTTGGTTCCATCGGACACTTTAACACTTTGAATCCAACCGCGATGATGTGACCATGCCGCATTTTATTTTATTTTTTATTAATATAATAGAATGTTAAGATTAAAATACCATAATATATAACAATTGGTTTATTGGTTAAAGATATCTGATTCCGATATTTGCAAGTTGCGATAAATACGAAAGATGTAAATGTGTGTTAATTCGCTGTTGCATAAAGTTCTCGATTAAAAAGAATTTGCATAAATTTGCTGCAAGCTGCACAGGTAAGTGAGTGAATTCTTTGCACTGAAATAATTTCATGTAAAGGCGAAGTAACATTACAAACAACATCGCTTGAAAAAAAATGTGTATATATATATATATATCGTCAATATATTTCTAAACATTTAATAGGAAAATATAAAGAATATATTGAAATATCTATATACATATATCGTTACATAATTTACAAAGAAAAAATAAAATCTTTAACCATAAAATACTGAAATACGTATTGATGATTAAGAATAAACATTAATTACATTACGATTTATAAAATTACACCATCTTAAATATATCAGAAATATTGTCTTTATAATTATATATATATATTCTTTTTTTTATTTATTTTCTCGATATAAACTGCTGCTTTCTTTGTCATATGTATTTGTTATCAGAAAGCTCTTTGAAGTATATATATCGCTCGATAAAAATAAATACGGAGATGCGCAAAGAATTAAATTGAAACGGTATTCAAAGTGTTGAAAGGATCCTATTGAAAGAGAGAAACGAGCCGAACGAAGGGACTCTGCGGTGTCGTTTGTTAGGGGAGCCGCGAAGAAAGAATGCTAGGCTACGTGGGCTTATATTGCCTACACTTTGCAAGATGCATTTAGCAGGATTAACGGTGCTCACGAAATATATGAGAACGGTGCACACACGTGTGTAGAGACTCGGTTATACTCCAGGTAAACATAGATTTCCAAGGCGGAGGGAAGTCGCGCAATCGAGCGCTCGAAATAAAAATGTGTTTCTTTCATGAATGAAATTCTTTATTTCATACAAAGTACATTGTGAATAAAACGTACGCGATAAAAATATTCTTTGGGGGAAACGAATGTTTCTTCCCAAATATGTTTTTGTTGAAGTTATTTTGAAGTATTTTTTTATTTAATCGAGGGATCACTTTAATTTTACAATCGATGCAATCGCAAAAAAAAAAAAAGCAACCGTGAGAATTAACGAAAATTAACATAAGGGTATTGATAATAGAACGTTATCTAAGCATATACCGAATATAGTTCCTAGAATATTTTAAGATTCTCAAGATGCAGATTTTTTTGAAAAATTTAAAAGTGATTTTTAAAAATTTATTTTCTCAGTTAATTATATATATATCGAACTCAAAGTTTATTGACGTTTTCGTAATTAAACAATCGTTTTAGCTTATCTTGTAATATATATACGTATCTCTTAATCATTGAACTGACCATTTGAACCATTTGTAATAAAAATAAATTTGTAGAGATAAAGCAAATAGGACGAGATTAAAATAATTTACGCGCGACTTCCTTCTTGCCCCGTCTCTGTACAGCGAGAGAATCGATCTGTTTACGATTTGCTAAGTGTCCATCGTTGTCTCCCAACGTGCTGTTAACCCAGGTAAATAGGGCCTAGGTCAAGAGACTGAAAGAGAAAGAGAGAAAGAAAAAAAAAACAGAGATGATAGAGAGAGAGAGAGCGAAAGAGAAAGTATACGCGAGTAAGCCAGCAGGAAGGCAGGCAAGCGAACGAACGAACAGCAATGTGTAGTTCACTCATGTCAGCTGATACCTAGCGCGCGGCACAGAGGTGGTGTGAAATACAAAAGACCTTTTTGAATTTTTGTTTGGCAGAAACGGCCTGCGCCCGTCGCGCTTCTACGTCACTAAGGATAACATGATGGTGATGGCGTCCGAAGTGGGCGTCTATGATACTCCGCCCAGCAATGTAGTCCTGAAGGTAAACGAAGGAAAATAAGCGCATCCCAAGCACATCGGCCGATCTCACTCAGCAGGATTAACGGTGCTCACGAAATATATGAGAACGGTGCACACACGTGTGTAGAGACTCGGTTATACTCCAGGTAAACATAGATTTCCAAGGCGGAGGGAAGTCGCGCAATCGAGCGCTCGAAATAAAAATGTGTTTCTTTCATGAATGAAATTCTTTATTTCATACAAAGTACATTGTGAATAAAACGTACGCGATAAAAATATTCTTTGGGGGAAACGAATGTTTCTTCCCAAATATGTTTTTGTTGAAGTTATTTTGAAGTATTTTTTTATTTAATCGAGGGATCACTTTAATTTTACAATCGATGCAATCGCAAAAAAAAAAAAAGCAACCGTGAGAATTAACGAAAATTAACATAAGGGTATTGATAATAGAACGTTATCTAAGCATATACCGAATATAGTTCCTAGAATATTTTAAGATTCTCAAGATGCAGATTTTTTTGAAAAATTTAAAAGTGATTTTTAAAAATTTATTTTCTCAGTTAATTATATATATATCGAACTCAAAGTTTATTGACGTTTTCGTAATTAAACAATCGTTTTAGCTTATCTTGTAATATATATACGTATCTCTTAATCATTGAACTGACCATTTGAACCATTTGTAATAAAAATAAATTTGTAGAGATAAAGCAAATAGGACGAGATTAAAATAATTTACGCGCGACTTCCTTCTTGCCCCGTCTCTGTACAGCGAGAGAATCGATCTGTTTACGATTTGCTAAGTGTCCATCGTTGTCTCCCAACGTGCTGTTAACCCAGGTAAATAGGGCCTAGGTCAAGAGACTGAAAGAGAAAGAGAGAAAGAAAAAAAAACAGAGATGATAGAGAGAGAGAGAGAGAGAGCGAAAGAGAAAGTATACGCGAGTAAGCCAGCAGGAAGGCAGGCAAGCGAACGAACGAACAGCAATGTGTAGTTCACTCATGTCAGCTGATACCTAGCGCGCGGCACAGAGGTGGTGTGAAATACAAAAGACCTTTTTGAATTTTTGTTTGGCAGAAACGGCCTGCGCCCGTCGCGCTTCTACGTCACTAAGGATAACATGATGGTGATGGCGTCCGAAGTGGGCGTCTATGATACTCCGCCCAGCAATGTAGTCCTGAAGGTAAACGAAGGAAAATAAGCGCATCCCAAGCACATCGGCCGATCTCACCGAGAGGGGGGAGGAGAGCGCCTCTCTCTTTGTCTGAGGCGGAGACAACTGACTCGCAGTACAATGATTTATATACCGACGAGTCTCAGTCATCTCCTCATACGCTCAATCTTTTTTCCCCCCGCCCCTATTCTCTCATCTCTCCGCGCCTTTTCTCTACATTTCACCCCGATATAGAACGATCTCGGCCGGTGGAAGAGCGATCGGGGAGGCGCCCTGCCCGGGGAAGTCGGACCTCTCTCTCTGTAGCCTCCAAGGATCCCCCAAGGAAACAAGGATGAAAGGACGCTCGTGTCATGCTGCTCGTGTACAAGAGCAATGCTTGCGCGTCTTTAACCACGCGACAAGCCGTTTTGTATTTTTGATCGACGCTTGAGAATTTTGTTGCACGGGAATGACTCTCGACTATGATGCCGCGACGACATCGTTGATCGGCGAGAGTGACGGTCACATGTCGTTCGAGTCTTATTCTCGCGTCAGCGAAGCTCCCAAGCGCGCATCTCTAGCTTCCGATAACACGCCTTCTCGCCATCATTCTTCGACAGTTCGCATTTCGTCTTGTCGACCGATTATTATTGTGTCACGAAACAATTCGCTTTGATCTCCCGCTGATTTCTCATTAGAGGAAGAAGAGAGGAGGCGAGATACGCGGTAGAGCTTTCCTTATCGGAAAATTCTCGGCGGAAAACTGCCAATCCGGGAGACGAGATCGGGAGCACGTAGCTTGTTGATTCCACGGAATAATGGTTTTGCAGATATTTATTGCTTGATAGGTTGCATGCTTACGCAAATTTTTAGTTCCAGAGGTCTTTGGTTATACAGAGATCGTTGATCATGTACGTCTCTTTGGTTATATACTCGGTTTACGATCCTCGGCTAGGTTGGTCTTGAATCTATGGCGTCTTCGTTTTCTGGGATGCAAGCGTGCCATCGTGCGATTTATTAAATCATCTTATTTTTCATCTATGCTATGTCTAACCAATATACGTTATTCATTACATCTTGTGTGGAATCTCTGTCGGAAGCAACAAGCGTATCGTTTCCGTTCCTCGTAATAAGAGTATATATTTCTCTCTATTATTAATATATTAAATCGTTACGATGAAATAACCGTTCGATACAATGAAATAATAACTCCATCCGATAAAAAAAGTTCTACCACACTCTCGTGAACAAGTATAGAATATTTTGTCTTAATATCGGACAATTTTGCGCGAATTTGTTATATTTAATATCGAATATTGCCGAAACAATGTAATGTACTGGCATTCTGCCTTTATGCGATGATGGTGATGATGATCGACCAATGCTCAGCTACTGGTTCATCACCATCGACTTCATCCACGATTCAAAATCTTTTCCCTTTTTGTTCGAACGCGAAAATTTCATATTTGAAAATTAAAGACGTATTTTAGGAGTATACCTAAAGAATCGGTAAAAGGGCAGACTGTCATCATCGTTTGATCCGCAATACCTACTTCGCTGTACCGTTGATATTATACATATGTATAATAGAGCTAATCACATATATCGTATTTTATTTATTTTTTGATCATGTATCATGTATAATGTATAATTTGTCATCTAGGGACTAGGTTTGTATAGAGCTGTAGGACCGTCATCCAGTGCTGTCATATGAATGTCGATCATCGACGTGTCAAATCCGTTCTATGGCGATTATCGGTGTACTCTTTTATTTGCAGAGTCGCTTGAAGCCCGGCCGAATGCTTCTCGTCGATACCGAAGAGAAGAGGATCATACAGGATGTCGAGCTGAAGCTGCAGATCGCTCGAAGCAGGCCTCATTCCAAGTGGCTCAAAGAACAGGTAGCTAAACGCGTGCTTTTCGCCGACCTGATGTAATTATTCGCGATCACCAATTCTCGCATTATATATATCATGATTATGAATATTCGCCTATTCCGAAAACGAAACGGCAGAAACTTCGAGCTCTCGATATTTTTTTTACATTTTTCCGTTATTTTCATGTAACGCGAACACACTCCGTGTACATATGTATAATTGGTATTTTTGTACATAAGTGTACAACTTACGTACCTGCATGATTATCGTATAATTATATTCGCTAGCGCGAAAAAAAATTAAATAGATTTTTTGCTTTTTTCCATAAAAATCAATTGACTAATCCTCCTAATTAATCAATTAATACATCCCAAAGATCTTTAAGATAAAGATAATATTTAATTGGCAATTGATTTTAACAATTAAAATCGCGTTAAAATTTATACCAAGATTATCCTTGTAAGAAAAAAGTGTTCTAATACAAAATTAACTTTTTTTCTCGTATCGCTGCACGTGCCGTTACCATCGTATATGCAGAGGGTGAGTCGTTCATACCAATTTGAATGTGTTGTTTTCATTTTAATGCATTATATAGACGTAGTAGTATAATCGAAGAATATAATAAATTGTTATACGTATACTAGGTAAGTAGCAATATATTGTAGTAAAAGGAATTATGAATAAATAGTACAGTTTGATACACGGGAAAATCTTGGGCGATTCTTTTTCGCATGGAAAAATCAGTCTACCGCATTTGTCGACTAATCTTGTCCTTTTATTTTTGTTTTGTCAACTAATTTACTAATCAATTAATTACTAATGAAATTTCTGACGTGTGATATTTGCTTGAATTTTTTTCTATCATACAACTCAAAACATCTCTTTTTCTAATTACAGTGCCAAATCTATTCTTGAATCTCCGCGAAAAAAAGATTTTTAACTTCGACTAATAGATAGCGATGTCTTTTTTGTTAACGCAGATCACTATGGACGAATTGCGTGCCGCGCATGCTACTAATGACAATACGGGAGATGTAATTGGAAATGATCTATCCGCCGAGACGACTGTCGCGAAGAAAAATGTTCTTAACGGAGTAAATGAGGTCTCGGCGGTGAATAAAGTCTGGAGCGGCGATAAACGACTCTCTCTTTACGGTTACACTCTGGAGACCATCAACCTGCTACTTTTACCCATGATGCAAACCAAGTACGAATAAATTCTTTCGACGATATTATCGTCTTTTTCAATACGACGATAATGCTATTCCAACTGCCCAATAAATATTAAAACGAACACTTTCAGGAAAGAATCATTAGGATCCATGGGCAACGACGCTCCCCTGGCATGTTTGTCGGAATTCCAACCATTATTGTACGAATATTTCAAGCAATTGTTTGCGCAGGTACGCGATAAAAATTTGACTCTCCATAACTCGACATATAGAGTAATTAAAAAAAAAAAAAATGATTTTAAAATATTTTACTAAGTACGATCAAATATATATCTGACGCATGTGCGTATATTAATGCGTCCCACACAATTATGATTTTCATAATCAGGTAACAAACCCACCGATCGATCCGTTCCGCGAAAAAATCGTGATGTCGATGCTCTGCCCGATCGGGCCCGAAAGCAACATCCTGGAAACGAGCGAGTTGCAAGTACATCGCTTGTTCCTGCCCCAACCGATACTGTCCCTGAGCGATCTCGAGGTTCTCAAGCGCACGACGCATCGCGGCTGGCGAACAAGAGTGATCGATATCACTTACCCCATTGAAGACGGTCCCAGCGGCTTGTCGAAGACGCTGAATCGTATTAATAATGAGGCTAACGCGGCTGCCAGAGATGGTTATCAGCTTCTCGTGTTATCCGACCGACAAGGTGGTCCGTCAAGGTGAGGAGCTCACGTAACCTACGGAACGAAATATTAAGTTTTATTAAGATTAAAAATAATCTTGTAAGGAAGGAAAATCTACAATTTTCAAATCATTATATTTTGTTGACTTTAGAGTTCCGGTAAGCAGTCTGCTAGCTCTGGGTGCCGTTCATCATCATTTAATCGAAGAGAGACAACGAATGAAGGTCGGTCTTATTCTGGAAACAGCGGAGGCTCGAGAGGTTCATCACATCTGCGTGCTACTCGGTTACGGAGCGGACGCCATATGTCCTTATCTAGTATTCGAAATGGCGAAAAACCTGAGGGCAGATCGCGTTTTCGACGAGACCTTCACCGATGACGTTATCTTTAAGGTAAATCCTTAAGGACTTCCTTATAGAACGAAAATACTTGTTGGATGAACATGACGTAACGCTAATTGTAAAAATTATTCTTTATTTATATGTATATGAAAAAAAGATAACAATAATTGCTTAAATATCGCAGAATTATGCGGAGGCTATGGAACGAGGAATCGCGAAAGTGATGGCCAAGATGGGAATCTCAACTCTGCAATCTTATAAAGGAGCCCAGATATTCGAGGCAGTTGGACTAGCCGACGAAGTTATCGACAAATGCTTCAAGGTACACTTCCTTTTCGAATCTCAGAGAGTAAAATTAAAGAGAAATTAAATTCCTATATCTATATATATCATTCTTTTATTATAAAAAAAAACTTTGGATTAATGTAAAATATTTCCCGAATCTAGAACACAAAAGATAAACTGATCTAGATTTAAAAAAAAAAAAAAGTCATTTTCTTCAAATCTTTGGAGGGATGCAAATGATTAATAATTGGATCCAATTCATGAATGTTTAATGATTCAAGTTTCTTGATGATGCATCTCGGCCGACAATATTATTTATCTCATTATGTAATAAGCAGTAATAAATGATACTCTTATGTTAATTGCGAGCTCCAATTTTTCAGGGCACTCAATCTCGTATCGGTGGCGTGACATTCGATATCCTGGGCAAGGAGGCGTTCGAGAGACATCGATTAACGTACTGGGAGAAACCCATGGATCAACTGGTGATTCGCAATCCTGGAATTTATCATTGGCGATCTGGTGGTGAGAAACATATCAATGATCCCGCCAGCATCGCTAGTTTACAGGTAACGAATTTTGAAAACCTGTCGTAAATCTTGCTAAAACATCGACGACTTACATCTATTATAAAAAGAACGTAGCTAAAAAGTCACCATTTAAAAAAAAAAAAAAAAAAAAAACAATTATGTATATACAAGATTAAAACGAGAAAAACTTTTACGAAACAAATCCATTTATCTTACAATACACCTTGAAAAAGCAAAAGTTGTTTACGCTGTGAATATCTGTAAAATATTTATGTTATTAATATAAAAGTATTTTAACATGGAATAATTATTTATATAATTATTTAATAATTATAATGATTTTGTTTCACAATTTTTCAATTTTCCTATAGTGTTATATTTTCATTAAAAACTCTAACGTAAAGAATATTCTTTTGTACCGTCATCTTTTCTTCATTAGGAATATGTCGTCTCGAAGAGCAACTCGGCTTATGAGAATTATCGCAAAACAACGATGGACGTGGTGAAAGCTTGCACTCTGCGCGGCCAGCTCGAATTGAAGAAATCGCGTGATCCGATTCCCATCACGGACGTGGAATCCGCGTCGGAAATTGTGAAGCGGTTTGCAACCGGTGCGATGAGCTTCGGCAGCATCTCCATGGAAGCTCATACCACTCTGGCGATCGCCATGAACCGCATCGGCGGCAAATCGAACACTGGCGAGGGCGGTGAAAACGCAGACAGGTATAAAAAAGAATAGAGGAAAGAAGATAAAGAAAATCTAATTGATGAAAAATTTTAAATTCCTATTATTGATTATTGTCATTAACGACACAAAAATTTCCAACTAATTGCCATTAACTAATATCCAACAGGTATCTAAACCAAGATCCGGAGTTTAGCAAGCGCTCGTCCATTAAGCAGGTAGCGAGCGGCCGTTTCGGCGTGACTGCCAGCTACTTGGCGAATGCGGACGATCTGCAGATTAAGATGGCGCAGGGTGCGAAACCCGGCGAAGGCGGCGAGCTGCCTGGTTACAAAGTCACCGCGGAGATTGCCGCCACCAGACACTCGGTACCCGGAGTAGGTCTGATCTCGCCGCCGCCGCATCACGACATCTACTCGATCGAGGATCTGGCTGAGCTCATCTACGACCTCAAATGCGCCAATCCGAACGCCCGCATCTCCGTCAAGCTCGTATCCGAAGTCGGAGTTGGCGTAGTCGCCGCTGGCGTTGCCAAAGGCAAGGCTGAACATGTGGTGATATCTGGCCATGATGGCGGCACCGGCGCCAGCAGCTGGACCGGCATCAAGTCCGCCGGACTACCATGGGAGTTAGGCATCGCCGAGACGCACCAAGTGCTCACCCTGAACAATTTGAGATCGCGTATAATCGTCCAGGCGGACGGTCAGTTGCGCACCGGTTTTGACATTGTGGTGGCTGCGCTGCTTGGCGCGGACGAGTTTGGCTTTAGCACTGCCCCGTTGATCGCTATGGGCTGCACCATGATGAGAAAGTGCCACTTGAACACCTGCCCAGTGGGAATCGCTACACAGGATCCGATACTAAGGAAAAAATTCGAGGGCAAGCCGGAACATGTCATCAATTTCTTCTTCGCGCTCGCTGAAGAGGCATGATACTTTTATTTTTTATCATCTTGTTTATATCGCGTTTAGTCTGCTTTGTTTATCCGTTTATCTCTCGTCTTTTCTGATATTATGTTTATATGTTTTTATTTGCATTTTTAAACCTCTTTTTGTTTCCGAAATTATAATTGAACTATACTATATTGAAATGTTAATCAAATAAGTTTCTTACATTATAAAATTGCAGCAATAAAATATTAAACGTAATATATGTATGTATATTTTAATTTATAAATATAAATAAGTATTATTTCAACATATCGTGATTTATTTCTACTTAATCTCTTTAATCGTTGATATTTTCACAGGTACGTTCGCACATGGCCAATTTGGGCATCCGCAAATTCCAAGATCTGATTGGACGAACGGATCTCCTCAAGGTACGCGATGACATTACCACGGAGAAAGCCAAGACCCTGAATCTCAGCAATATTCTGCGAAACGCGCTGGACTTGAGACCCGGCGTGAATATTAGGGGCGGCACTTTGAAACAGGACTTTCAACTGGAGAACAGACTCGATAATAAACTGATCCAACTGGCTGAACCCGTTTTGAATGGAGAACAGACTCGAGTCGACATCGAGATGAACATTAACAACGAGTGCAGGGCGTTCGGATCGACGTTGAGTTATCATGTAGCCAAGTAAGTTTCTTAATCATTTTTCTTTGCAAAATTTATTTAGCACTTTTTATCATTGACCAAATCACGTTTTACGATCCTATTATTCTTGCTCTTTCTTATCTTGCAATTACTTTACAGACGATTCGGAGAAGCTGGATTACCCGAGCATAGTATCAACATCAAAATGCAAGGCTCTGCGGGTCAGAGTTTCTGCGCTTTCATGGCCAAGGGTATACACGTCACCCTTGAAGGTGATGCCAACGATTACGTCGGCAAGGTAAATATCGCGCGCAAACTTCTTCAATTTTCAAATTTATGAAAAACTCTATATAGTAGTGTAGTTTCATCGTATACATATATTCATCATATTATATTTACTCGCAGGGTCTCTGCGGAGGTGAAATTGCCATATATCCACCGAAGGACTCCGAGTTCAACTCGGAAGCGAACGTGATTGTCGGGAATGTTTGTCTTTACGGTGCCACTTCTGGAAAGGCTTACTTCCGTGGCATCGCCGCTGAGAGATTCAGCGTACGCAACAGCGGGGCAATCGTCGTGGTGGAGGGTGTGGGCGATCATGGTTGCGAGTACATGACCGGCGGTTGCGCCCTGATTTTGGGTCTTACCGGTAGGAACTTTGCCGCCGGAATGTCCGGCGGAATCGCGTACGTTTTTGACGTGGATGGCTCCTTCAAGAGCAAGTGCAATCCTGAAATGGTAGAGTTACTACCGCTCGACAAGCCCGAGGAAATCGCTTACGTGAAGCAATTACTGGAAGAATTCATCGAAAAGACCGACTCGTTGATCGCACAGGATTTGCTTGCCACATGGCCGGAACCGACCACGAGATTCGTCAAAGTTTTCCCGTACGAATATCAACGAGCCCTTAAACAGTTAGAGGAGGCCAAGCAACAAACGCCTAATGTAATTAATGGTGATGTGCAAGTGACAAATCATAAGATCAAAGACATAGAGGATGCGATAGAGGATGCTGAGATGGCACAACGCAAGCTTGATAAGATCAAGGGCTTTATGAAGTATTCGAGGCAAAAGGTCATGTACAGACCAGCGGAGAAGCGTATGGAGGACTGGAACGAGATCTACAACTTCCAGGGTGTCAGGAAGACTCTGCGAGTGCAAGCGGCGAGGTGCATGGAGTGCGGCGTTCCGTTCTGCCAAAGCAGTCACGGCTGTCCATTAGGCAACATTATTCCGAAGTGGAACGATCTCGTATTCCATCAACACTGGAAGGAGGCCCTCAATCAACTATTGCAGACTAATAATTTTCCCGGTGAGATGATTTTATGAGAATTTTCTCGCTAAACGCAAATCTTGCCAGTTTTGTGAAGATAGATTATTTTTTTTTAAACATTCTATAAGAAACTTTGTCTATTCTTTATACAAAGATTAGAATTTGATATATTCTTCCTTCATCATAAATATCAATCTTTTATTAAATTTATTATTACTTAACAAGATTTTTTTATTTATATATTTTTTAAACCTGATTTTCTCTTTTTTTATTCTATTCTCATTTATTACTTCAATTAATCCATTATGTAGATAACTGTGTTTAATTCTTTGATAAAATAATCTAGAGTTCACCGGAAGAGTCTGCCCTGCACCTTGCGAGGGCGCGTGTGTCCTAGGGATCTCCGAACCACCCGTGACAATCAAAAATATCGAGTGCGCGATAATCGATCACGCATTCGAACAGGGTTGGATCGTTCCTCATCTGCCGACCAGAAGAACCGGACGGAAAGTCGCAGTGGTGGGTTCCGGTCCCGCAGGATTAGCCGCTGCTCATCAACTAAACAAGGCAGGTCACACAGTGACCGTATTCGAGAGAAACGATAGAATCGGCGGTTTGCTACAATACGGCATACCGACAATGAAGCTTTCCAAAGAGGTCGTTCAAAGAAGAGTCTCTCTCCTAGCCGCGGAGGGAATTATTTTCAGGACGAACGTTGACGTCGGCAAAGATATTACAACGCATGTGAGCAAACGCATATGATGATACTTTTTTTCACAGCAGTATGCATATTATATGATACACACTCGACAAATAAATTTTTAATAATGATTTTATGTTTTGTAGCAACTTCAAGAGCAATACGACGTGGTATTGTTAACTACAGGAGCGACATGGCCGCGGGATTTGCCGATTCCCGGCCGGCAGCTGGAGGGAATTCATTTTGCCGTGAGTTTCTTAGAACATTGGCAGAAGAAACAGATGGGTAACGCGATGCCACTCGACATGCGGCTGATGGCCAAAGATAAGGACGTCGTCATCATAGGTGGCGGCGACACCGGATGCGATTGCATAGCAACCTCGCTGCGTCAGGGCGCAAAGACGATCACGACCTTCGAGATTCTGCCCGAGCCGCCAGCTCAGAGGGGCAAGGATAATCCGTGGCCTCAGTTCCCGCGTGTATTTAAGGTTGATTACGGTCATGAGGAAGTATCCCTAAAATTCGGCCGAGATCCGCGTAGATATAGCACGCTAAGCAAGGAATTTCTGGATGACGGAAAGGGCCACGTATGCGGCATCAGGACGGTGTCCGTCGAGTGGCGAAAGGACGAGAACGACCGATGGAAGATGGACGAGGTGTCGAATTCGGAGAAGGTATACAAGTGCGATCTGGTGTTGCTCGCTATGGGCTTCCTCGGCCCCGAGAAATATATCGCCACGGAACTGAAGGCCCAATTGGACGAGAGGGGAAATTATAAAACTCCGGCTGGGAAATATCGTACTAGTTTACCCGGAATATACGCGGCAGGCGGTTAGTAGAAAATATTTGCATACGTGCTAGATATATAATTTTGTATAAAATTATAAATTACACAATAGAGAGAGAGAGAGAGAGAAAGAGAGAAAATTATATGCACCAAAAAAATTCTATTTTTTTAAAGTCTAGTTTGTATTTTTAATTTTACTAAAAAAAGACAATTGCCAAATTTTCGCATCAATAATTTCAAAATCTGTTGTAAAATTTAAAATATTCTTTTAGGCTCGATTCCACCAATGTTATTTTGGCTTTAAACGAGACTTGAAATTTTTGGCTTTTGGCAATAATCAATGTTACTTGGCTTTTGGCTTTAAACTTTTAGATTATAATTTAATTTATCGTTGATTAACTTATAGTCTAAGGCCTAAAGCTGAAAGCCAAATAACATTATTGCCAAAAGCCAAATGTTTTAAGTCTCGCTTAAAGCCAAAATAACATTGGTGCAATCGGACCTTAATCTTGTACATATTGCTTTCTTAAATACTTGACGTTATGGTACAATGATTCTGTTGTACATTTCTGATTAGAAAAATCGTTATTAATTATGACTGATAAGTATTAATTTCCATAATAGTTGTAAAAGCTGAAGTTTTTTTTTAAATATATATTTCGTTATAAATATTTTTTTAAATAGATTGCAGACGTGGACAGTCTCTCGTGGTATGGGCAATCACGGAAGGGCGATTGGCCGCGAAGGAAATCGATTTGGCCTTGATGGGAGAAACTGGCCTTCCTGGAAGCGGAGGTGTTATAACCGGCGTTAGCGCTTAAGGATCTTCGCGACAGATGTTGGTCTTCCAGTTAGAAAACAAAAAGATCCACCGTGTGTATGTACCACGAGGAAAGGATCGTATCGACTATTAGAAGGCAGGAGGAGAGTCCTTGGGGATCTAAGGATGCAAGATCCGAGCTCTAAGGATTCGAAAATTCCAAGAATCCAAGAAGATACGAACTTAGAATTATAGAGTTCAGAAATCTAGGAATCGGAGAGATGTAAATCGGAAATAAAAATCCAAACTTTTAACAATCCAATAATCTATAGTTCCTAGCATGCAGAGATTAAAGAATTTTCTCTTAGAACAAATTATAAATTTTTAAGAGATTTTTAAATATTCAAAAAAAGTTTTTCTCTCTTTTAAAAACCTAGAGACCGGGGAACTCTTGTATTCAATTTTCCGACATTCAAGGATCTATAGATTTTAGGATTCAAAAGTCTAACAACGAAAACATTAGAGAAGCTGAAAGAAAAAAAGTTCCAGGGGTTCCAAAAATATAAAAATTGAAGACACACAATTGCGAGTCTCTATTAAATAAAGTAAAAATAAAGAGAGAAAGCTATTTCATTAAAGTATTATTTATAAAGTACACTTATACACAATTTTTTAATGTTTTAATTTTTTAAATGTTTTTAGCTTTCTGAAGTAAATATCGAAAAAAAAACAGGTAATATTCTCAATTAATCTTGTATGCAGTTAATTATAATTATTGAAACACAATTGTAAATTTATTCTTTTATGCAACGAGAAACGATTGTAATTATTAATGAAGCTTAATACGTAAGTACAAAAAGTATTCGTATATACCGCCATATTTTATTTTCTACATTTTTATTAGTAAATTTTTATAGGGGATATAAGAACAGAGAGAATCTATATAGATATATATAAAGCATTATTCAATAAAAACATTTATGCATCACTATTTTTGTTTTTGTGTGAATCTTGTTTTATCTCAGTTATACATAATAATACACGAACTCATCAATTAATACTAATTAAACTGTTGTATTGATGCATTATTTATAAATTAATAATTTTGGCTGGCTACAAACAATGTATTTGCAACATTTATTATTTAGCAACATAGAAAAACTATTTTTTATGATTAAAAAAAATATATTCTTTTTCAGCGCATTTTATCGTACCATTATCATCGACTATCAACGAATGTTTTATAGAAAAAAATCTGAAAGTTTATATATTTCACAAACTATTTACTTTAAACAAAAAGAGTTTTATTAAAAAATTGTTTCTGATTTATTATTTAAAGATAAAAGAGATATAAAAGATGGTAGAAATTTATATATTTTTTTTCTTTTAATATAGGATGCAAAGTTGATTGCTATATAGAAAATTATGGTATACGAATACTTTTATTAATATGCTTATTTTTCATTCGTTGTCAGTATATAATGTGTATTAATATTTTTGGCGTTTGGCTTCGAATCTGGGCATTCGCTTAGGTTGCCTAGCATATCATGAATCCACTCATATTATCGATGAAAAAAGTTTACACAAGTTATCAGAAAAGATGATAGAATAGCGTAAATAATAAGACAATGTAGCACATGTATTATATATACGTCGTTCACTGTAATTCTACTGATGATTCTATCAATTAATTCACTGCTGAGCTGCTTATTATTAAGTAGAGAGGAAACGATCGTTCAATCCGTTAACCGGTTTAAGTTTTAAGCATATCTTAATAAATCGATTGCTCCTTAACTGAATAAATTATGGAATTTCTAAAGTATACTTGTGACCGTAAGATATATTTGTGTATGTATTAAAGACAGGTACAGTAAATATGCAGAAAACGAATAAAAAAGGAAATTAAAAAAGAGAAATTAATTTTGTAAAATAAAAATTAAATATGATCTATATAAATGTAAACAATGCTATTATAATTCATCATTTTATTATATAATTAAGTAACGAATAATCCAAACTTTTAATTAAACATTAGATCGGGTCATGAGCTGTTTTAATTAAAAATATTGTTATTACAAAAATAATATAACAGTGAATTCATATTTAGACTTCAAATGGCATGAAGTAAATTGGCAGCATCGGTTAAAGAAAGGATTAATATCGATGAATAGTGATTTAATCGAGCGAATAATGATTTAACGTTTTTTCGAGTTCCAAATATCGTGTTAAATTACATCTAATTGCATTTTTAAGAGCGT